CTCAAAAAACATGTATTATTATTATTATTATTATGTTGAAAACAGATTAGATTTTTTTTCTTTGATGAATAGAAATTTAAAAAAAAACAGCATTTATCTGAAATAGAAATCTTTTGCAAAATTATAAATATCTTTATCATCACTTTTGATAAATTTAAAGCATCCTTGCTAAATAAAAGTAATAATTTCCAATCATAAATGCTGATCTTTGGATCTTTCTATTCATCAAAGAATCCTGATGTACTGTTTTAAATATTGATAATAATAACAACAACAACAAATATGTTTCTTGAGCAGCACATCAGCATATTAGAATGATTTCTGAAGGATCATGTGACACTGAAGACTGAAGTAATGATGCTACAAATTCTGCTTTTTGATCACAGGAATAAATTACATTTTAAATATATATTCAATCGAAAGCAGTTATTTTAAATAGTAAAAATATTTTCACAATATTACTGCTCTTGCTTCTTTAAAAAAACATTAAAAATCTTACCGTTCAAACACTTTTGACTGGTAGTGTATATCTGTATGAAATATAGGTTATTTTAAGTAATTTTTAGTCATTTTAAGATAAATAACATTCTTTGCTAAAAAAATTAAATGAGGTGAATGTTTTCAACAAGGTGGACACAGTTCTGTTCATAACAGTAGACCTGCTGGTGAAGAAATGACAGGCAAGAGGGGGGAAGGTTAGAGATATTGGGGAAAATGAAGGAAAGGGAAGTGAAGGTGCAGTGCAAGAGTGAACCTCTGATTATTTTCCACATCCCAGACTAAGGATTTAGACTCTTTTTTTTATGTGATGGCCATACAAATAATAGGGCTGTCTGGTTTCAAAAATAGTTGTGGATGCAGGGTGCGAACTACGGGGGAGTTAGGGGGAACTCGGCTCCCCTTAATAAGACATGGACTCCCCTGAAAACGTGATTTGTGAAATTTTGCGGGGTCTCAAAAAATATTGACAATGTGTTATTTTGACGTGCAATTTCAGTTTTGTGTAATGTGATCATCGTGGATTATTATGTGTAAAATTGCAAAGGGTAAATCCTGTATAGTGATTAATCCTATATAGTGCTTGCATAAAGCAAGTAGTGAATAAACTTGTAGCTGTTATGTCTCTTTGTAAGTCATTGTAAGCCCTTGTTGTAAAAACAAGTGGGCTCCCCCAAAGTCCACGGTATAGTTCGAACACTGTGTGGATGTATAGGCTATATACAGGAAATAAGGGGCCAAAATTGCACCTTTTGGGGTGCAACAGCTTGTCACTGGAACAGTACCCTTAAAAAGATATATTTGTTCCTTTCTTACCCCTAATAGGTAAGCCTACAAATGATTACCTTAAAGGGATAATTCCCCCAAAAATGAAAATGTGATGTTTATCTGCTTACCCCCAGGGCATCCAAGATGTATTTGACTTTGTTTCTTCAGTAGAACACAAACAGAGATTTTTATCTCCAGCCGTTGCAGTCTGTCAGTCGTATAATGAATGGCAATGGTAACAAAATCTATGAGAGTAAAAAAACATGCACAGACAAATCCAAATTAAACCCTGGGGCTCGTGACGACACATTGATGTCCTAAGACACGAAACGATCTGTTTGTGCCAGAAACCGAACAGTATTTATATAATTTTTTACCTCTAATACACCACTATGTCCAACTGTCTTTGGGCGCACGCACGGCATCCGGTGCGTGAGGTATGTAAGCGCTCTGGCGTAGTTTACGTTAATGGGTGTGTTGATATCCAGCCGAAGAGCAATCAACCATAACTTCAGGCGAGCAGGCTCAGAAGTTGGGAATACGTGAAAAGTCACCAATCCCGAATGAGTTCACGCGAGAGAACGTAATCTTTTAGTTTTAAGTAGGTTTGAACAATCCGGATAAGCACAAGTAAGTACCATTTTGATTAGCCGTCGTACCTACAATGTTTGTGCACTGTGTAAACAATGAGTGACGTATACATGTGAGAGATCACTTCCGGCGCTTGCGTAAACTACGCCAGAGCGCGTACACACCTCATGCACCGGAAGCCGTGCGCACGCACAAAGACAGTTGGACATAGTGGTGTATTAGAGGTAAAAAATTATATAAATACTGTTCGGTTTCTGGCACAAACCGATCGTTTCGTGTCTTAGGACATCAATGTGTCGTCAAGAGCCGCAGGGTTTAATTTGGATTTGTCTGTGCATGTTTTTTTTACCCTCATAGATTTTGTTACCATTGCCATGCATTATACGACTGACAGACTGCAACGGCTGGAGTTAAAAATCTCCGTTTGTGTTCTACTGAAGAAACAAAGTCAACTACATCTTGGATGCCCTGGGGGTAAGCAGATAAACATCACATTTTCATTTTTGGGTGAACTATCCCTTTAAGGGTATGAATTACTACTCTTAAGGTACTAATATGTACGGTGTACTGCTACGGTGTCAAGCTGTTGTACCCCAAAAGGTAAAATTTTGGCCCCCTTTTTTCTGTGTGGCCTGGATGAGTGTGAGATTTCCCGGCCTGAAATTGTGTCTCAGTCCGGCCCTGTGGCCAAGTGTTTATCTATGCATAAATGGCTTATCCAACACATTTCCAGAGGAACTGGACGTCCAGAGACCCAAGGGCATGTGTGTGAGGTTTGTACATGTGCTCCTACCCGGCTAGTGAGAGCAGCCTGCCTGCTAAGCAGCTGGTCTCTGTCTGCGCACATCTGAGAAGGCAGATCCTTCGGCAGCTGGTTCTCCTCCACCTCGCTGCTCTCGCCTGATACGTCACCAGAGGAACAGCATGGCAGGAAATGATAGAATATGTGTTCTAATTATACCCTGATACCCCAGCAGACTCATCATGAGCTCATTCAAGAGTGTAGAGTACCTGTGGGCGTATCAGCCAGGTTTCTGGTGATGATCTCACGGATGCGGGCAGGAACTGTTGTGATGTTGGACTCCTCCTCATCTCCCCGCAGAGTGAAAGTCTTCTCCTCTCCACCGCTATCTGGGTTAAGCAGCGTCTCCTCCAGCTTCTGCATTATCAGCATTAGTGTAAGAAGAGCTCATACACTACAATCAGGTGACCTAGTCTCAATAGAAACCTAAAAGCTCAAAATGTTTTGATGCTTGTTAATAAAACGTTATGTAATTATTTAATTTAGAATGTATTATTTATCGGAACTAGTTCATCATGTCTGTCTCTGTTTCAGTTTCGTTGGATGTCACAACAGCACAAGGAAATGAGTCAACCGTCTTCAAGTTGCACAGAAGAACCTGAAACTGACCCACTGATCGACCTTAATTTGTTGAAACATCGCAAGGCTCGTTAATATTAAATCAAGCTCTCTCCTCTTTCATTCACACATACCGTTTTGAATAGGTAACCGTGCAATAACCTATTTAAGTTACAGATGGTGAAGATCGGTTTTCCTGCTGGAAAACACGCACCTGAATCACGGCTTCCAGTCCTTGATCCCCTTCACAACTCATCTGGAAACTGGTAGCGATCCAATGCACTTAAGCGGACAGCGACGTTTTTCCAATTGTCCTCAATTCTTAAAGTGTTTTAAACGCTTAAACAGGGTTTAGCAAGTTGACATGCACACTAATAAAGTCTTAAAGGCTTTAAATGTTTTGCTCCATAGACAAAGTTTGCAAAGTGCACTCTGCACTAAATATCAATGCTTTAATAACGTGCATAAGCAAATTAAAGCAAACTACTTCGTGCTAGAATAAAGCTACAAGTGCAAAAGTTGCAATCACAGCACAGGCTGGAGGTGGGTGCCTCTGGTTGACAGGGGAACCGGACGCTCTTGCGTGTTGTCATGAGAATTCAAACGCAAGCTTTCTGGCTTCCATAGTTACAGACGCTGCAGGTCATGGCTGCACAAATGCAACACTGTTTATTCCAGTCTTTGTTGGCACTTTGTTAAAAATCCATTGCGATTTATGAAAACTAACAAGGGTTTTAAACAGCACTATTTTGTAACATCATAAAAAAAATTTCTGAATAAAAACAACATATATTTTGAAATTAGAATAAGCACATTAGAATAAGACATATTTCAATTCAAATTCAAATTTTACAATGGATTCAGAGAGGAAAACACAAATAGCATGCCATATACACACACACACACACACACACATATATATATATATATATATATATATATATATATATATATATATATATATACACATACACACACATATATATACATATACATATACATACATACATACACACACAACAGCTAGCTAAATTATGTAAACAAAAATAGCTATGTAATAAAAAAAATCCCCTTATCAAAAATGTATAATATTGCCGAAACTGGCTAAACAAAATTTTACTTTGCACCAAAGCCTAGGTCAAGATTTAGGGGACAGAACAGATATTAAGTGTAATCAAGGAAGAATTCAGTCCACTGGGAAGTGTCCAGGAAGATGGAGCAGCAGCCACTATAAGTCCATAGCCTGGGAAGGAAGCACTCCACCTTCCATGTGTTGGATGCTCGGTTATATACTTCTACTTCCACACCGTAATCCCCCTCCATGCCCTTCCAGTGCCCCCCAGTCACATACAGCTGCCCACCTAGAACCACCAAATCCCCATTCTCATGAAGAGTGTGTAGAAACTGAATCTGGGATGAAAAACGGCAAACATAAAAAACAAGAGAATAAAGAGAATTTCTAGAATAATGAATATAACCTAAAACTCACTTTTCCCCACATATTACCCCCAGGGTTATACAGATAGACCTTTTTGGTGTTATCTGCTACGAGGTAAATTACTCCATCCATAGAAACCGAGCAGGAAGAAGAGAGATATTTCGGAATGAAAGGAGAACAGATGATACACCAGCTATCTGTTGAAGAGGAGAAATCTTATTAACAAAAGTCCTGCTTTCTTTTTTTCCTTGTCATTATGGTTGAAGGCTTTCAGTCCAGACCAACCAATCAGCAAATGATCCATTTTCCAATAAATACTGTGAAAACATTTTATGATATGCGAGCTACAGCTTTTAGAAACAGCTTAATATCTTATGAAAAGAGTTTGGCTCACCTGTGACATACACATTGTTATTTAAGGAGACGACAGAATAACCCCATTTATTGTAGTTGGGAAAATCAGGTAGCTGAAACCACTGCCCTATCAGAAAAAAAGAATACAATTTCAATCTTACAAATGCAAATGTACACAGTATGCAGAGTGAAACAGAGTAAATGAGGCTCTATCACATGACAATTCAGCTAGTATTGACTATTGATTATTTTGACACTGATAGTCAAAGGTTCAGACATACACTTTATAACCACTGTTAAATATTTTAGAATGATAATAAATTGAAAGATGCAATATATGAAATAATAAAAGCCCTTTCAACCAGAATCATGATGTGAAGCATCCCGGGAAGCTTTTTTTTTGTTTTGTTTTTAAGGAGTTCCCATATTTGCTTTGATTGCTTTTTCTTATATGATTCAACTTATGTATTTAAAAGTTACAATGTTAGTGTTGTAAAGAAATTATACATATGCGAAAACTCATTTCAAACATTTAAAGGGATAGTTCATACAAAAATTAAAATTCTGTCATTAATTACTTACCCTCATGTCATTCCAATCCCATAAACCCGTCATCTTCGAAACACAAATTAAGATATTTTTGATGAAATCCGAGCGCTTTCTGACTCTGCATAGAAAGCAATGCAACTGACACATTCTTGTCACTTCTTAACATTACAGTTGAACCACTGATGTCACATAGACTCAGTGGTGTATTGTAATAATACTTCGTTACAGTACTTAAGTATTTTTTGGGAGTATCTGTACTTTACTTGAGTTTTTATATTTCAGCCAACTTCTAATTTTACTCCACTACATTTCCTAATTAAAATGTATACTTTTACTCCGATACATTTTCCCAAAGCATATTCATTACTTACTACAAAATAGTGAGAAGAACACGGACTGCAGAAAAGCAGGTTTGACGAATCAGTGGTCTGGCGCTTTTAGACTTCTAAAAACACCTTTGCTCACGTGCAAACAAGTGCGTGCACAACCGTGGGTGATTCATTTTCCACTCAAGGTGAGTCTTGGGTGTGCGATACAGCATCGTCTGCGATAATATGGTAAGTGTTGTTGTAATGATGTGCGATCTGACATTATCAAGTAGGCTATAGTAGGCTCTCCAAATCACACAGAGTGCACGCACGTTAATTTATCTATTAAAACTCAAAATTCCAGGCATTCTAAATTGTAGACGGCAAAAATGCTTCTGTATGCTTTTTATATTTGTATAATTTAATATATTTAACTTAATCTATATCACACAAAGAGTACAGTTTTTCAGCATAAACACATTTAATAATGATCTTATACAAGTTTAGTAAAGCTATAAGTGACTTACATTTTATACATAATATTGCTTGTTTCATTAAAAAAATAAATCACAGCACTCTTTTGCGTCTCTGAGCAATGGACGGTGTTTACTTATTGAATGAATCAGCTTTTTGAACGAATCGGTTGAATCTCAATGACTCACTCATTAACAGTCACTTGCTGTCACCTACTGGTGGTTTTAATTTCACATTTCGACTATTTTTTTCATGTTTTAAATTATTTCAAATATCAGTATTCAACGTTTTACGTTAAAAACAAAACATTAGACCCATTTATGCATCTGTAACTGCAGTTTAAATAAATTCATGTCCCCTCTGAGATACATAAACTGTAAATACATCTAAATGTTATTTCAGATGCAGATTCCAGAAATGTTTTCTTATGTTGGAATGAAAGACACTAAGTACCGGATGAAGTGCTTCTTATTCTTAACCAAAAATACAAAATGGAAGAGTTAAAACTGAACACAATATTGCTACTCAAGCGGTGTATGAACAGTTTATTTATATATACTGTATGTATATGTATATATATATATATATACACACACACACATACAGTGGGTACGGAAAGTATTCAGACCCCCTTAAATTTTTCACTCTTTGTTATATTGCAGCCATTTGCTAAAATCATTTAAGTTAATTTTTTTCCTCATTAATGTACACACAGCACCCCATATTGACAGAAAAACACAGAATTTGGCAGATCCGATTGTCTCTACAATGCCCGACCCAGACCAAAACAGCCTTGACACAAGACCGGTCATCCCTTATATGCACATCCTCATCCTTCAGGTTGGCCACCAGCCTGTCTTTCTCCAGCATCAAGAACTCCTCATGTTG